TCTTGGAGGTTGTCCACATTAAACAATAGCTCGTATCTGTCAACGGCAAGCCCGTTCATAGCTTGTATCTTGTTTTCCACCATGCACCCGATGACGATAGCCAGACTCCTGACGGCACTTGAATGTTCTGTATTGATCCTGCAGAACCCTAGTGCAGGAAGGGTTGTTTTGCCAACTGTCAAGTCAAGTCTGAATCCTCAGTAGATCAAGAATGAACAAATTGAGACTAACCTGTCCTGACCATATAATGGGAATACAAAACTGGCAGGAAAAGATAATATTGCTGGGGAAAGTGGTGGCGGGAGGCAGTAGAAAAAGAGGAAGACCTACAGTAACATGAGAGGGGTTGATTCAACAAAGGAATCCACAACTGTTAGAACCTAAGAAGAGCCCTGTGCTGGATCAGGCCAAGCTTCCTGTCTCTCACCGTGGCCCCACCAGATGTCTCCAGAAACGCACGAGACAACGACCTTGTTTCCCCTAAATAAGACCTAACCTGAAAATAAGCCCTAGTAATTTTTCGGGATGCTCATCATATAAGCCCTACCCCCAAAATATGCTCCCAGTTAAGTGAAAACCCACCCTCCACCCTTGTGTAGCAACCAGAAGAAGAGGACATGACTATATTTGAATAAAGATTATTGTACATAAAAAATAAAATAAAACATCCCCTGAAAATAAGCCCTAATGCATTTTTGGAGCAAAACTTAATATAAGACCCTGTCTTATTTTTGGGGAAATATGGTAGATCCCTGTCTCCTGATACCCCTTCCCCTGCATTTGGAATTTGGAGGTTCCTTCTTTCCTTCTAAGCCTGGAGATTATACATCCCCATCATGTTAGTTCGCAAGACCTGAGCAGAACTTATTGGAAATGACAATATTGCTGGTGGGGCGTGGGGAGAGTAGAAAGAGAGAACAACTTAAATCAAATACATTTATTGTCATTGTAAGTATATACATCGTATATCCATTCAACGAAATTCACACAGACACCCAGAGACCAGACCCACATGCACATGCATAAAAAAAATCCCCAAACACTCCCCACCCACTAAAAATCCCCCATTAAGAATACAAAGATCTACACCGCAGGCTAAGTAACACTGGCCAACTATTCACTACTGGTGGTCTTTAAGCTCATTATTAAGTGCAATTATAGCTCTGGGATAAAAACTATTCAGAAAACTTAATATGAGAAGCTGTTGATTTGCAATATCTGAGGAGCGGTGTTAATGATAATTTAGGAGGTTATTAATTCATACCGTCACCATGTATCAGAAGTGACCTGATGACATGTACAGTGGTGCCTCGCACAGCGAGGTTAATCCGTTCCGGATTAACCCTTGCTGTGTGAAAGCATCGCTGTACGGATCAAAAAAAGCCATTGGAACGCATTAAACGCTGTTTAATGCATTCCAAATGGTCAAAAACTCACCGTACAGCGATGCTTTTCCGGGTCCGGCAGCCATTTTTGCACCCTCGGTAAGCGAGGGGAGGGCGCGAAAACGCTGCGCACGGCCATTTCGGCCGCAGCGAGACCCTTGATCTGCTGGTCGGCGGGTCCAAAATGGCCGCCGGAACAGCCAAAATGGCCGCGCACAGCGTTTTTGCGCCCTCCCCTCGTTTACCAAGGGCGCGAAAACGCTGTGTGCAGCCGTTTCGGCTGTTCCGGCAGCCATTTTGGACCCGCTGCCCAGCTGATCAGCGGGTCGCAAAGTGAAGGTCGGTAAGCGAATCGCTTACTGACCTCCACTCTGCGATTTTCGCCCTATGTGGGCACCGTTTTGCGATCGCATTTGCGATCGCAAAACCGGCCTCGTAGAGCGGATTCATCGCTCTACGAGGCGCCCGTTGTGCAAGGCACCACTGTAACTTTCTTCTGAGCTTTTCTTAAATTGCCAAGTAATCGTATAGTGACAAGATTGGTGGAATGGAGAATATGACAGGAGACTAGAGATGGGCATGAACCACAGTTCGGTGCTGTCATGTGGTTCGACAGTTCGGGCCCACGGGTGTTATGCTGGAGCAGTCCGTGCCCATCTCTACAGGAGACTATGACAGGGTATGGGCAACAAAACTCTGCTAATATGAAGTACGACCATCCCCAGCCACAAAGCAAAAAACACCGTTTAAACAAGTGCCCTTCTGAAGATGTGTTCTGTATTTTTTAAAAAATATATTTCAAAAATATTTTCAATAGTTGCATTATTTTTTAAATGAATATTCTTTTCATGTCTCTGTGTTTGTAAGCAGACATAGAATCCCCTTTCCTGTTCGGTCAGGAAGGAACTAAAGCATTAAAAAGTTAGCTCCACGTCAACTACCTGGATCCTGATAGGCAGGGTCAAAAATTCAGATTGTCCCAGAGGTGGAGATGATTCCCTCTTTGAAAACTTATGTGGGGGAGACTGGTCTCAGAAGTTGTGGCAAAATTACCCACCCACCCCTTTTCTGGAGGACTGTTAGACTGGTCTCAGAAGTTGTGGCAAAATTACTTTTTGCCTTTTCTGGAGGACTGTTACTTCATTACTTTCTTTAAAGTAATCTGTTTTTTTTTTAAAAGAAAAACCTATACAGTATTTTCAATCTGTTTCTGTGACCTTCCTCTCTAAATCTCTCCCCCCTCACACACAAATATATAAAATGTTTTATTTTGAGAAGCTCTTGCTGGCTATTTGTTTGTTTGTTTGTTCCCCACCTCTCTCCATAAAAGGCCACAAGGTGACATACATCATTTAAAAAGATACCTAAAAACAATAAATTATTCACATATTAAAACAGTACTATAAAAGGCCACAAGGTGACATACATCATTAAAAAAGATACCTAAAAACAATAAACTATTCACATATTAAAACAGTACTACACATCTTCAGTCTTGTAACAAAGTGCTTCTGTTTCTCTTTTCAAAGGCCTCTTTTGAGGATCAACATTTCAGCCCCAGCAGCCTGGATTCTCACCAAATTCTCTTCCCAGATAAGCAAGACAGATTTTTTTTCCAGTTTATATGATCTACTTTAAACCTGGGAATATTTAGGGTCACCTGTTTCTGAAATGGTTGAGGGACACTTTTACTTCGAAAAAATCATAACTCGAAAACCCTTTGCCCAATTTAGCTACAATTGGTGCTGATTTGAAGCACTGTTTAAAAGTTATTTTAAATTATTCTATAAAATTATTCTATAAAATATTGATTTGCTCTGCCAGGCCAAGATCATTGCAGGAATAATTTAAATGTTACGTTTTTTGGACTACAGTTCTCAAAATCCTCCAACCCACAGTGACAGTGGCCACATTGGCTGGGATATTCTGCAAGAGGCACTCGATAAAAATAATATTTCCAACAGGATGAGGGCATGAGTGAATTTTACTACATATAAATCAAATAATTCCTTGGGCTGAGGAAGTGACCAGCTAAGAAGTACTAAGGTGAATGAATGAAGACCAAGGGAATCATAAAGCACATGACATGGAGAAAGTTGAATATTTCAGTCACATAATGAGAAAGTGAAAACCCAGCTTGTCATGGCTGATCATTCAAGGTAAAATAAACACAGGTGGGGAATATGCAGGTAGAGCAAAGAAAAATACCTTAACAGCAAACACTTGGAGACTGGCATAGATGCAACCCAGCATTGTTATTTTGAGCTGCTACATCTAAAGTCAGAATAGTCATGATAATGAAAGAAAAAGAAATCAGATTACAGTGGCGAGACATTTCCTCTTCCTCATTGTCCATGAAGAAGTCTTAAAAATGAACTAAGTTTGTCTATATGGTTGTTGTGAGTTTTTCGGGCTCTTTGGCCGTGTTCTGAAGGTTGTTCTTCCTAAAGTTTCGCCAGTCTCTGTGGCCATGGGCATCTTCAGACGACAGCACTCTGTGCTCTGGTCCTTTCACTGGTCTTGATGACCAGAGCACAGGTTGCTGTCCTCTGAAGATGCCGGCCACAGAGACTGGCGAAACGTTAGGAAGAGCAACCTTCAGAACACGGCCAAAGAGCCCAAAAAACCCACAACAACCATTAGATCCCGGCCGTGAAAGCCTTCGCAAATACTTTATCTATATGATCTCAAGCGTGTCTAGAATTGGGCATGTTTAGCCTTGAGAAAAGGAGGCCAAGGGATGATATAATAGCACTTTTCACATATTTGAAAGGCTGTCATACAGAGGAGGGGCAGGATCTGTTCTCGATCATCCCAGAGTGCAGGACACGCAACAATGGGCTCAAATAACAGGACGCCAGATTTCAGCTGAATCTCAGAGAAAACTTCGTAACTGTTAGAGCAGTACGACAGTGGAACCTGTGACCTCGGGAGTTGGTGAATGCTCCAACACGGGAGGCATTCAAGAAAAACTATGATCATCACCTGGCAGATCTCCTTTGATTTGTATTCCTGCACTGAGCAAAGGGTTGGACTTGATGGCCTTGTAGGCCCCTTCCAACTTCCAATGATTTTAAATCTATGTACATTCTTTCATTTAGGGCAGCGGTTCCCAACCTTGGGTGACCCAGGCGGTTCTTGGATTACAATTCCCAGAAGCCTTCACCACCAGCTGTGCTGGCTGGGGTTTCTGGGAGTTGCAGTCTAGGAACATCTGGGGGGTGAAGGTTGGGAAGCAGTGCATGAAAGGAAGCACTGCAGCACCTAAGCCAGGCAAGCTTGAAGGGAATAGTCAGCATAAACTGGGTGGTCACCGATTCCCAAAGAAGCATTTCAAATTGAAAGAGTACCGTATTTTTCGCTCCATAAGACACACCAATTTTTTAGGAGAAGAAAACAGGAAAATATAATCTGTTTTCTTCGCTCCATAAGATGCACAGACTTTCCACCCCCCTGTTTTGTGGGGGGAAAGTGCGTCTTATGGTGCAAAAAATACGGTACCTTTCTCTCCCATTCTTACCAATCCCTAACATGGACTTTTCTTCCCTCTCGCAGCTCCACGATAATAATAGTTCTTTTTTAATGCACGAAACTCGGTTGTGTTTTCAGACGTACCTGTGTTCTCTTCGGACTGGTTAAAACCGCAGATCTGGCAAATACTGCGAACCCACTTGTTCATGTCATCCTCCGTTTCGGCAACAAGGTAGAAGGTCCTTTCACTGGTCTTGATGTCAAAGACGTAACTGTCCTGCAGCTCCTTCTTGTTGAAAGTAAGACCGGCGTCTACCTGCTCGCAGAAATTGAGGTTGATGACACGTAGCGGCTTCTTCGAATGGTCATTCTTGTAGTATTCCAGCACGTCTGGGTCTCCGCTCATGCGCCCACTGCGAAGGACAAACCAGCGTTTCTTCCATGCCTAGAAAAGAAAAAGGAAAGGAAAGAAATAACAATGTGAACTCCAGCAAGGTTCACCTGATAGCTTATAAAATTTACTTTTTTTTTTTTTGGATGACAAGTTCCAGAATTCCCAAACTGGTATGGCCAATGGCAGTGCCAATGTGAGGTCTAACTACAAGGGCACTTCGCTTTGCCAATTTAGGATAGGATACCCAACTGTGAGCTGCCAATGGCCACCAATCATATTTATAGGGGATGATAGAACTTGGCTACAGTGCCAGAGATTGTGAGTTTAATTCCCTTTGTGCATCCTAGCAGAGCCAGCCTATGTGGCCTTGGGCAAGCTGCACACACTCCCTGGGTGCTTCCCAGAATAAAATAATAATAATGTGCCATCAAGTCAATTTTCAGGGTTTTCCAGGTAGAGAATACTCAGAAGTGGTTTCCTGTTCTCTTCTTCTGGAGACAGTTATAGGACTGTGCAGCTGGCCCAAGGCCATCCAGGCTGGCTCTGCTTGCACAAGGGGAACAGAACTTCAAACTTCTGCCTCTGCAGTCAGAGACCTAACTCGCGGATCTATCCAATCAGCAGGGCCTCCACAAGAATAGAATGGTAAATTACTTTTGAGTGTTGTCTATCGGGGAAACCTCAAAAAAGGATCACTGTAAGTCAGAATTATAGAATTCGTCGTTCAATTCAATGCATAGTTCAATTCAATTCGTAATTCACAAAAGTCACTTTTCCAAACTGTGGTTTAATCAGGTTGGGAATGGCTTCCAGGCAGAGATCTTTTGCATGATGTGCTCCCTGGTCCTGACCGCATACCTCAGGGAGTTAAGCCACTGTTTTCTGCATTCAGAAGCAGGCAACGTGGCCTGCGAGTTCTCTTCCTCTCTCCATTGTGTGAAGCATCAATATGATTGTACAGAAGTGGCTCACATCAAGAAGGCAGCAGTCCAAATACAGCAGGTGCACCAGACAAAACCTCTCTCCAGAAGAGGCACTACTTCCATTTCTCAATGCAGCACCCCCCCCCCCCCTATCCTAACACGAGCTTGCCTCAGTCCACATTTGGTAAATTGGCTTACTCTCGTTTGGTCAAAGGATTGTTTTGACAGGTTGGTTGGCATAGATTGTGGGCCTGACACCAAAGCAGCAGCGTGCATGTAAGTTACGGCCCAGATAAAATTACAAATATATAAATAAATGACCATTGGCCTTAATGTATGATCTCACTTTCCTTTACGAACAGTATAAGCCTCAGTGTGTTCAAAACAATGAGTGCGTCATTGGGAGGCCAACCAAAGGGATGTCATTCATCTAAATGGCAATTGAACAGGTCAAAACAACACCCCCAAAACATTTCAGTCAACATCAATAGTTTATTTACAGTCCTTAGACCAGTCACATAAGTATAAAACCTTATAAAACCTTAAAATTTCTAACTTTCAGTATTCCATTAGAACATGTTGGCATACATACAACGGCAATCTAATTGGTATTTAACTTCCGCAATCGAAGAATTGCTACACAGAACCTCACAACCCGACAGGTGATCTGGACATCAACATCTGAGAGAAGGAACTCTAGCCTATTTCCCTCCGAACGTCCTGGCAATCTATCTATTAAGGGGGTTATAGTCTCTTTTCGCACTGCTTCATACAATGGGCAGGTGAAGAACATGTGCTGTATGGTCTTGATCTCCTTCAGGTGGCAGGAGCATAACCTTTCAGCAAAAGGGGTATTTTTATACTTCCCTTCTAGTACAGCAGAGGGGAGGGCCAAACACCTTGCCAGAGTAAAGGCTCTTCTAATTCCTTTAATTAGGTTCAAAGTTTCCTTTCAGAGCGAGTCATCATAAAAAAGAGCAAAGGAGTCCAAGTTATCATTTCAGTCCTCCAGCAAAACATGTTACATCTGTGTTTCTGGTATTCCTAGGATTGTCTACTGGACCTGTAAGATTTCTGCAGAGCAGTCAGAGATGAGAACTGTTTGGGGGTGTTTTAAGGCAGTGGTTCTTAACCTTGGGTTACTCAGGTGTTTTTGAACTGCAACTCCCAGAAACCCCAGCCAGCACAGCTGGTGGTGAAGGCTTCTGGGAGTTGCCGTCCAAAAACACCTGAGTAACCCAAGGTTAAGAACCACTGTTTTAAGGAATACCCAGAGTAACCCAAGGTTAAGAACCACTGTTTTAAGGAATACCTCGCCCAGAGGGGACAAACCAGCTGCACAATTCTGGGAGGGTTATAGTCTAAAAAACCTCCAAACTTTTCCCATCTCTGAGAAGTGGCCAGGCCATCTGGAAACATCTGCTGGCCGTTGACATTAAAAGGGAAAGAGGCACGGGGCCCCAATTACCGAGAAATTCATCTCGAGAGGGAAAAAAAGGGGTGTGTGTGCTGAAATGAATAGGACTTGTACCAATGGAAGCATAAATTAGAATGAAAAATAGATTTGCTGCCTCATGCCCCAACGTTTCTTGGATGGGCCTTGAGCGAGCTGAAAGTAACCTTGAATGGGCAATGAACGCAAAAGCTTGATTTACGAGCATTGTCACTGAGCTCTGAGCCAGGATGACAAAGGGTTGAGCAAGGGAGTTTGCCAGAGTTTGATTTGGATAAACATTTATTTAGCCCATGTGTCTCCCACAACTCTTTCCAAGGGGTTCAACACAAAACACGCTGGAGTTTGGTACTAAATGCTGTTTTATCTGAATAAAACAGAGCTGTGCCATGTGCAGAAAGTAATAATTTCATTTATATTCTGCTTTCCTCTCAGTTAAGAGACCAAAGCTGCTTAAAAAATCAGGGTGGGTGGGGTGGGGGACAAAGACACATAAAATGTAATATTAAAAAATGCAGTTCAATATGCAGGCTGACTCTGGTTGGAGAAAAGAATATGGATACAACATCAATATTTGAATGGCTGCTCTTGATGTGAAAAATCCTGCCGAACAAATCACAAGAAGTTGTGGACAGGTATATATTGGAACCACAAAACGCAGCATTCACACCAGAATCAAAGAACATGAGAGAAACTGCAGACTAAAACAACCAGAAAAATCAGCAGTAGCTGAACATGCCCTAAAACAAGCTGGGCATGAAATTCTATTTCAAAATACTGAAGTACTGGACAACACCAGCAATCATTATGTTAGACTGCACAGGGAAGCCATTGAAATCCATAAACACCAGCAGAGCTTCAACAAGAAAGAAGAAAGTCTAAAACTTAACAAGGCCTGGCTCCCAGTACTGAAAAATACAGCCTGCAAAAGGTCAACGACCTCTCCCCAGCCACTAGGACCAGGGATCATTGCACAAAAAAGACCAGCTAAAGACACTCATCAATCACAGTGACAGATAAACTCTCCCCCTTATCAGAACAATACATCCACAACAAAAAACACACTGAGCATCATTATCATCCTGAAAAAGGACAAAAGTCGTTCCCACAGCTATAAGTACTCAACTATGCAACAAACAGCAACAGAGCATGGACAGAGTTCCTACTCTAATCCTCTGAAGATGTCCCCAGAAAAAGTAAATGGTTAGCCACTTCGGCTTGTTCTTTATTTAGAAAACCCTGAAAAGATTTGTAATTAGGTAGATTTAATTCGACGGCATGCAATGATGATGATTCAAAAATACCAGACAAAATATAATCAAAATTATAAAAACATTGACTGGTATTATATAACAGATAGCGATGGGGAGGAATATAAAGCCGGATTGGGTTTTTTCGATGAATGTAGGTGATTCCTCAAATATTCGTTGATCCATATTCATTAAAATATAAATCTAGACAAATATGGCTGGATGAATATTTCCACGGTTTTATTCGTCGATCCGTTAGTATTCGTATATATTCGTTACCTTTGGGGGGGGGTCTCTCTGAGCTTGCTGGTGCCAATTAGAAGCTTTGGCGAATCACGACAGAGATAGTGGATTGGCATGTCCGGTAGCCAATAGCGCTGCCAAAAGGTGCCGAGAGGCTGTATATAAGCTTTTCCCCTCCAGGCGTTGCGCACTTCTGTTCATGCTCTCCGGAGTAAGAACAGCTGCTGCTGCTGGCTTGCTGCGACTCTCGTGGTTTGGTTTCACTTTTGTGGCAATATTTTGCAAACATAGATGTTCGTAAGTTGAAATGTTCATAGGTAGGGACGTTCGTAAGTCGAGGCACCACTGTAATACCATTCGTTATGTTATTTGCAAAAGGTCTGTCCTTCTGCCCCCTCTCCTGCAACGAGTATAAGCACCATCGTTCGGATGACTCCCAATTTCATGAGAGTGAATCCATGCCAATATATGGTCTCTTTTTTGCAGGAGCTATCCTACATGCTGAAACTTTTTTTGGTGGGGGGGGGGAGATTAAGCACCATGGATAGTCTATCTCAGCAGTTCCCAACCTTTTTGGGACCACAGACCATCTGAGCCTCTGAGGAATGTGGGCCACTCCCCTGTGCTCGCACGCTCCTGGGCGCATGCGCGAAGCAGTGGGGGAGCACCCATGCACCTGCCAGCACCACCGTGAACGCTCCCCCACACTTTTGCACATGTGCAGGAGCGCCTGCACACCCGCACCCCTTCACGCGGACATTTGAGTGCATGCGTGAAGGGGCGGGGGAGCGCTCATGCCAGCACTGGGGGGAGGGGAGTGCATGCGGGGGGGGGAGGAGGGCTGTCTCTGCGGCCCGGTCCAGCTCAGGCCATGGTTGACATCCTCTCGTCTATCTAGTCAATCGTATAATGTTCTGATGAAACCCACAGTGGATTTAGCACCCTGTGCTGTCAGTGTTTGTAATGTTTTCTTCCCCAAGTTCTGAGTGCATCACATCATGGATATTAACACAGGGCAGCTGGCAGCTGCCACTTTAAATTCTACACAGTACCCCAACAAAAGCATTCCTCTAGGGCATGGTGGAGAAAGACGCCATGTACTGACCTTGGACCTTTCTCGAGCATCTGGGAGAGACCTCAGGGCTGTTCCTGCTGGTCGACAATTTAAAAGTTCCTCCACTT